CCGCTACGCGTCGTTCGGTGAACGGCAACCGCGTGCGGAAAAATTCATTTTCCGCACTTGTTAGGTAAATAGCTATTTCGGTAATTAACGGAACATTGCCTTACGCAACTTTATTTCGTCAGGCACTAGGCCTGATGTCCAATATGGTACTTTTTGAGATGGCTGTCCCCAAGCCAGGCTCAACCTTCCAGGAGGAAAGTCAAAATTTAAAAGTGGCGAAGAATAGGACAAGCGGAACAAGCAGAGCTTTCCTTCGAAAAATAACCAACGAAAAGTGTTGGTACTTCAAATTTAAGTGAAAAGCGTGCTCTCTAGGTTAATAATTGCTATTATTGTTGGCGACAGAAACCTTCTTTTGAGAGGTTTATTCGGGATTGGAAAAAGAACGGTTCTACAACGGTTCAAAACAATCGGACAGTTTATCAATCAACAAAATGACAACAACTCGACTATCACAAATTTCAATAATAAACTGTGCGATTGTTTTGAACCGTTCTAGAACCGCCCTTTTTTCAAACCCGAAAAGGTCCAATAATGGTAGTCACCACCACCAGACGGTTAGCATTCAAGAAGGCAATTTATTTTTAAGATAATATATGGAAAAAAAAAGACAGCAACATTTAGCATGTTACAAGAGGCGGCGTTAGTAATGAAGAGCAGGTTGTTATCATTTCGTTTGAGATTCTGTATCGACCAGCGCTTTTAGAGCTATTCATTCAATCAACTATTTCCTCTACCTCAAAAGATGGATAGACTGTAAAGATCCACTCTGTCAAAGTCTAAATAAGAAGTCCGAAAGTGGGAGGCGGAAGATAAACAATGTCACCAGAATTGTTCATTTCTCTATCTTGTTTGCGCTGGTAGATTTGAGTCGTTCATGATGAAAATCTTTGAGGTTTTCTATCGAGTTTTCGATTTCAGTGATTTGCATAGGGGACCATATTTCTGTCCGAGACTTAAAGTCCCGGCATGCCTCTGAAAAGGCTTCCTGCTCACAAGATGAACCAGACTTTTTAAATTTTGTATATTGTTTATTTTGCTGGATTATACACACATACCCAGAATTAGATAAATAAAATTGTCCACGTCGGCGAAGATCAGGTCGAGAGTCATTCCAAGACCGTTGCAGGTATGATTTACTTGTTGTGCCTCCTCTTGGCCTGTTTATTCTATCCGCTCTGTAGAAATCGTAGTTTTTTATTTTGAATGTGGTGTTTGGACGAAGCTTGGACGAAGGCACGTTTCCTGAAAGAGAATAACGTCAATGTCATTATGGATTAGAAAGTTAATCAACTCGATTTTTTTTGGGTAAAGCGAATTCGCGTTCCAGAAAGCAATGGTTAGGTGAACTGGCTGTATTCTATCCATTAACAAAGTGCTTCCAAAGCAGGATTATTGGGAATTTGTGTGGCTATAAAATTAAGTTTATTTGTGATTTCATCATTTGACATTGTGAGCAAAGTTAGGATTGATGGGTTGTTTTGCAAATTGGATTGCGAATTCGTCTGCTTGATGTGGATTGCTTGAGCTGTGTTCGAGCTTTCAGATTACCCTTATGAAAGGCCTTACTGTATTCCGGAACTTCATTTTAGGGTTGAGTTAGCAGTGACTGATGATTTTGAATTGATTTTTCATTCTGTTTTGATAGTTTATGTAATTTGGGTTTTTGGGGCAATTGGAGTGGCTAGCCGCATGCGGGCTTCCGCAGTTTATGCATTATGCATTTTAAATTGATGGCATTTGGACCATTGTTGTTATCTTTTTTGATGTAGCAGTTTAGGTAGTGATGGTTCCCCGCGAACTTGTGACATCTGGATTTGGCTGCACAGTTGGAGGAGGCATGCCCAAAAATTTGACAATTAGTGCATTGAATAATGTTTTCGTTGAGAGTTGACTTTTTGTGGGTCGAGGATCACTGGTATATAGCAAATGTGTGTGATTGTTTAATATGTATCAGATTGAATTTGCGGTGGAAAGGGCCCAGTTTGAACCAATAGCACTCTACTGGATCAAAACTTTGATCTTGTAGGTCTTCTTTATTGTCTTCCATATTTATTTCAGTGTGGAGTCCTTTAATTGATACTGAGAAGCCTATCTTCTTGTAGAATATAAGTGTGAAACTCAATGTATTTTGTTTTTAAAAATTTTGTGATGGCTCTGTGATCACTGATGATTCAGGCGGAATTTAAATGCCATTCCTGTTTATTTTAGGATCTTTGAAATTGAAGGGTTCTTTAATAAGTTCCTTGTGAATTTTCATCCATTTATCTTCGTTTCGGGTGGTAATTAGGGGATTTTTTTCCGTTTGGGTGTGATTTTCTATCTGGGATGTCTCAAAATTTTCGGCGTTTTCTTCCATGTGTTGTTGCAGACTCTGATTAGTGATTTTTGGATAGTTTAGTTTGATGATGGTTAGTTGAGTGAGTCTAGCGCAGCGGCATACGTGATTTATAGGTAGTTTCCACTGTGACTTGTGGTGAGGTTCTGCTGCTTAGGCTTACTTTGATATTACAAATTCCTAATTTCCGTTTTCAGTTGGCTGATGTCGCTCTGAAGTTCAATTTCCGGCCTTGTAAGGAACAGCATAGGTCGCAGGGAGAGAAAAAAATTTCCTTGTGCTGATGCCTATGTTTAGAAACGCAGCAGCCTTTTCACAAGCCAGCGCCATATTTAGTATTGGTTAAGTCTCGTTTAGAAAAAATATTCAAATTATTCTAAGGTTGAACTATGGAATTTCCTCTGCAGGTTCATGCGTGAACACCCACTAAGTAGGTATCCTTGGATGTATTCTGGACTTTGTTTTCGTGCTTATTCATCGAGAGTGTCGACAAACAATTATTTTAGTCCTAATATTAGGTTCTATCCCTTTCTCTCTAGCCATACTTAAAGAAACAAGTTTCGCTCCAAAAATCAGTTATCGTTTGGAATTGACAAACGAACTTCTTTACATTGCCAATGTTAATTATACCGGTAAATTGTTACGTTATGATTAACGTATAGAACAAATTATTTGTTTTTATTATACCACACTAAGGTTAAATTTCCCAAATGGTTTTGCGAGGAAGTATAAAATGTATGTGAAGGAAAATAGAAGAAGGGGATTTAAAACAGATGTGATTGGCTTCTCGTCACGCGAGAATAGAATTTAGCTGGGTTTTGGGTAACATATTGAATTTTACGACAAAGGTGGCCCCTTACAGGGAGCAGTTTTAATTTTAGAAGTGACTCTATAACTGTACAGGGTGATTTTTTATATATTGACACCTCACCTATATCCTTTACAGGTAGAAAAAAGGTGTTAATACAAAAGTTTTACAGCTGTATGCAACATTCTCTTTTAACTTAAAATGCTTTTAAAAACTGGTACCTTTAAAAATTTGTATGGTTTAGAATAAACATTTTCAACAGTGGTAAGTTTTAAAAAGCGCTTCAAAGTTAAAAGAGGATGTTGCATACAGCTGTTAGAGTTCTGGCTAAATTTTTAGAATCGATGATCACAAACAAAAATTGAATGCCAGAAATGTGAAATTTTGCATGCTTCCAGCTTTTTTGAAATGGGGTGCCCTATATTTGGTTCTATATTCTTGAAGAGCACAATGTTCCGATTCCAAAAATATATAGTTGTCTATATTTGGTTGAGCAATCTCTTATATATTCGGCACCAAAAATTGTAAAAATACTATCCTACTAACTGATTTTGTGAACCATTCTAGCTGTACAGGCGGAGGCGGCAGGTAATATTTGAGGTACTTGGTTTCCCTGATAGTATTTTTAAAATATTCAGAACCAAATATGTTGGAAACGGCTCAACTAAATATAAACAAACTATATATTTTTGGAATCGGGAAATTATGTTCTTTATAAAGAATATAGGATCAAATATAGGGCATCCCATTTGAAAAAAGCTGAAAGCATGCAACATTTCACATTACTGGTATTCAATTTTTGTTTCTGACCATGGATTCTAAAAATTGTACAACTTTTGTATTTACACCTTTCTTCTACCTATAAAGGTAAAGGCTGTAGGTGGGGTGTCAATATATAAAAAAAAACCCAGTACCTTGATTATAAGAAACACTGGTTGGGCCACAAACTACAAAAAAGGCTATTTTCAAAAATTTATAATAGGAAAAAAAACTTTTGAACATATTAATTTGTGAAGGAACTACATTATAACAATTTTAAACTGAACCATCCTTTATTTAGGATTTCAAACTAGAAAGAAAGTTTTTCTGACAAAAAAGAAAAAATACATCAAACCTATCTGAAAACAATGACGCGTTAGGCTATTGCTTTTAATAAACAATAATTAGGTTATCCAATGGTTGGCTACTGAAAAAAATCTACTATTGTTTAGAAAACAGATAGTTTCAATGAATGGAATTAAATGATATAGTGCTAGCGGTACACCTCAATATTTGAGAAAATTCTGCAAAATGTGATAAAAGCAACAAACTTGGTAAACAGGTTTTTGAAACAAAAATAAAACATTTTCCCCGCAGCACCCATCAAAATTCTCATGTGGTTCCATTTATGGGTGCTTGGTGGGCTCATAGTGGCTCATAATTTGAAAAAAAAATTGACGACTAATTTCAATTTGGGAATGGTGGATTCAAATTTATAGCTATTAATTAGTTCCAGATATCGGCTGAACCCCGAACCTCCAGAGGCAGTTACCTGTATTTTTTTTTATGTTAACTTATAATCAATATTGGTTAAGGGTCTCATCTTTCGGATCCAGCTGCGATCTAAAAATAAAAACAAATATGTATTTGGATTTACGGAAAAAAATATAATTTTACGATCAGAAAGTTTACCTCTGGTTTGAGCAATTGGACATCGAGTCTTGCATGCTGGAGTACATACCAAATTGTATTGTCTACAATAACAGCGCATAGTCCCACAATCTGTTTTGCACCCACATCTATCAAGGCTATCAAGCTTTTTAAGAGCCAACCGAACTGGCGGAAGTTCAGACCACAATTCTTCCTACCCCATTCATGGAAGACGAAGGCTCACAATCGATATTATGTGCTTGGCCCTATAAATGGTCAGATTGGTAGGATACCCTTTTAATATGCTCTTTCAGTGCTGAAGAGGAATTAGTGTGACAGGTTTGTCGCCACGACGTAACATCTCCTTTCTTGTTTTATCAACCCTCGTAGTGCATGATTGAGGATCATATATTTTAACTGTGAATTCTTCAAGCGCTTGTATATTCATTTCAGGGCCGGTTTATTCATCTTCAGATAAACTTGCTGGTAACTATCTGCAAGATAAATAAACCATTCTTCAATTCTATTGGTCGGCGTATACCTGGCCGACCAATGGGATTACAGATTCACAGATTGTGCTTTTATCTCTCAGATTGCATACCTGACAGTTTATCAAAAGTTAAATAAACCGGCCCTCAGAGAGTTGTTCCTCAAGAGGAAAAGGCTGTCCCAGATACTGATGTATTAGTTATTGCTGTGTCATTTCACCATTCGCTGTCAGCTTATGGTCTAAAAGAACTGTGGATTCAGTTTAGTGTTGGATCCAAGCGAAGGTACATAACAGTTCACAATATAGCAAATGGTTTGGGAGTAGAAAAGGCTGCAGCTCTTAGTGGATATTAAGCCTTCATAGGGTGTGACTCAGTTTATTTTTTTACTTCTAAACGGAAAAAAAGCGCGTGGGGGGCTTGGACAGAGGATCATATTACTGCCGCATTTTCAAAGATGGGACAGCCTTTGCCACTTGAGGAACTGAAATGAATATACAAGCGCTTGAAGAATTCACAGTTAAAATGTATGATCCTCAATCATGCACTACGAGTATTGATAAAGCAAGAAAGGAGATGTGTCGTGGTGACAAACCTACCTATCACACTAATTTCTATGTCCTCTTCAGCACTAAAAGAGCATATTGGAAGGGCATCTTATCAAGCTGGCCATATATGGGGCCCATGGAATGGGGTTGGAAAAAATCTGAGAATTTGCTGGTTTCATTGTGGTCTGAACTTCCTCCAGTTTGGTTGGCTTTTAAAGAGCTTGGTAGATGTGGGTGCATAACAGATTGTGGGACTATGCGCTCTTGTTATAGACGATAAAATTTGGTATGTACTCCAGCATGCAAGACTTGTATGGCCGATGGCTCAAACCAGAGGTGAACTTACTGATCGTACAATTATTTTTTTGAAAATGAAGAGAACGCATAGAGAGAGAAAGCTAAATTATTTTTTTTTTCTGTTTTGCGAAAATTCAAATTAGACCGCAGCTGGATCCGGAAGATGAGACCCTTTACCAATATTGATTTTAAGTTACCATAAAAAATAAATACAGGTAGGTAACTGCCTCTAGGGGTTCGTAGTTCAGCCGTTGTTTGGAACTAATTAATAGCTATATATTTAAATTCACCATCTCCAAGTTACTCGAAAAATTAGTTTTTTTCCATTGAAATTGGTCGATAATTTTTTTTTCAAATTATTACCCACTATGGGCCCGCCAAGGACCCATAAATGGGCTCACATGAGAATTTTGATGGGTGCTGCGGGCGAAATGTTTTATTTTTGTCTTGAAAGCATGTTTACTAAGCTTGTTGCTTTTATCACAATATGCAAGATTTTTTGACATACCGCTACGACTAATAGAAAAATAATTAAGATACGTAGTGCACGCTTGAATGACATTAAGCTGTAAGAAGGCTTCACAATGTCACTTCTTTTTTCGCGAAGTGACACAACATAGCTGATATCTTGATCCTGTATTCAGCAGTGGCGGCTTGTCCTATGAGGCAGATGAGGCAGTACCTCTTGGAAATCATATAACCTTCAATCCTTCAATATTATTTAAAATAAAATAATACATAATTATAAAATCAAAACCCGGTTCAGGTTACTACTGTTCACGCGGAATTGAAAATAAATTACTGTCCAAAGAGCCAAATCGGAGGACAGCCTCATCATATTTACATTTGTTTCTCTCTAGCCTGCAGGATCACGCACGCACTTATTTCTCTTTATCTTGTCCACACAGCGTGTATCGGCTATCGGCCCGATCCCCGACGCCGATGCGTATTTACGATGCCGACAAATTCAGAGAAAAAATTAAATGTTCACACGGCAGAAAATCAAATTTAATACATAGTCAGCCTAGTAAAGCAAATAACTTCAAATATTCAAAATCCTATTGAAAAAATCTGAACAAACGTTTATTATTCGCAGATTCTGAAATCTCTTAGAACAAATATCTGGCGTAGTGTCTCCTCCGAAATAAAATGCACCTCTGACTGAGTAGAGATGAAAGATCAAATCGCATAACATTCTTATTTTAGTTATTTCCAGTTTCCAGTTAATATTGGTATAGGATAGGAAAGTTAACACTAAGACATTGAAGGTTCTTACTGGACAATTTCCTAACAACGATTTTCATATTTCATAAGAACAGAATGTTTAACAATGTAGGTAGTTTACTAGACTAATTTTGAAAAAGTATGTAAAAAAATTACATTAAATATTTTATATCCTGCCGTTGTTTTGCGACTGACAACCGCTTCTACAGAAAAATGTTTCCCCGCACTTAAAGGGATAAGAAATCGTATTATATAGGTCCAAAAAAAAATTACCCGAGACTTCTTTTTTTTCACAACTTTTGAGTAAAAATTTGGGCGTGGCACCAAAAAAAAGTATTTTGGGTTAGATTGTAGAAAATAGTTATTTTTGTATCTAGTGCGCAAAATGCTAATATGGTGATCGAGACCTGATTTTTTCAACGAGGCGCAGCCGAGTTAAAAAAAATAGTCGAGCTTACCAAAGTATTTCGCGCCCGAGTTGAAAACAATATTTTTTCTACCACTCCATTCAAATATCGATCATTCGAAGCCAAAATTGCATTCTCGATCAAAGATAGGTGAATTTTAATTATTTCTGGTTTCCTGACAGGTATGTGTCACCATGACACCAGTGCGCGAACTAGCTATTTCGCGCACTAGTGTGCGAAATAGCTATTTCGAGCACTACACTGAAAAAAAATTCGAGATTATAATAAATAAATATTTGTTTCTGACAAATTTGGTTACAAATACCAAACCAATATTATAATTAATATGCATTGGTAAGAAATACATTAAATTGGTAATTAAAAATATGACTGTTAAAAATAGTTATTTATAAAATACAAATGATTTATTAGGACTCATTTTCTTATATCAAACAATGTTTGTTAATAATGAACAAAATATTTCTTACAATAATTTATTTGCAAGGGTTTTATAAATATAATTTATTAACAGAATGTTCTGGTTTAGTAATTATAAACAAATGGTAATTATAGATTAATAAATATATAATGTTCCATTTTAACACAGTTTAGTTGAAATTTCAACTTGTTCCTTGGTTTCTAATAATAAATCCTTATTTTCCATATATAAATTATAATATCAGTAAACAAACGTTGGTACACCCGCCACCGTCCGCACTGTCTATCGCCTATATTTGTGAGCTATTCGTTCTTTTGGCTTCGAGGCGTGAAAGAAGAAACACCTTGACCTATGTTTTATCTGTTCCACCGACTCCCTACTTTTGCATTATTCTGGCGTGCTTCGGCGAAATACAAAGTTAACAGTCAACTTATAAATGATATTATCCCAGCTCTGAGTGTAATAATTATTAAATCGTGGAAGATAGCGTGGCGGAACACAACAGTGTCGAATTACAACGGTTTTTGGAAACGTGCTGTGATGGTGATGCTGAAGTTGTTTTATAAAACTGCAAACGTAATAATATTTTCTGAAGAAGCGCCATTTAATTAATAGGTACCAAGCAACTTTGTATTCTCCTTTTTTTCCTGTTACACCTGAGAAGATAATCGAGTTATATTTCATTATTACATTCACAGGTCGCCGCATGTACACCCGCCATGTTGCTATGTTCTTCAACAAAATTATGTTACCTATGTGAGAATCTAGCCTACCGAAGAAAAATAAATTCAAAAAAAGATCGGTTCGTTTTTAATTATTTCAGAGTGCCCTATTCCCCAGGAACAAACTAAGGCCCAGTGGTACAATCGAAGCTTATAAATCGTGGCTTATTAAAGCCTAACTGTTACTTGTACTTTCCTATTTAAAATGCATTACTGTCAACGAGTTGTCAAATCTTACAGCTGTGCATTTTAAATGGGAAGGTTTCAAGTACCAGAAAGCTTAACTAAGCCATGATAGGCTTCAATTGTACAACCGGGCTTAAAGAAAAAAAATACTTATGGTAAATAATTCCAAATTAACAGTAACAAAGCTAAATAATATTTACGAATAAACGTTTTTTACAATTAATAAATGATTATTTGAATCAAGTATTGTTTACTTACTGGTAATAAATATAAAGTTATATTTAATCCAGCAAAAGAAACCAGAATTTATTATTAACAAACGTATATTTTTGAAAAATATGATCAATTTACTATTAGTAAAGACAGAAAATCCAGAAGCAAACACCAACTTCAGAGAACAAAATATTTATTTATTATTAATATGCGTTAATTAACTATTATTAGATAGAGTATATCATTAAATAAGTGCTTTATTCTCAAATTTTAAACAAATAATTTGTGTGTTGTGACCAAAGGTTTAATAAGCCATATTTCAATAAGCGATTTAGTAATAGTCACTAATTTTAGGTTAATATAACTAAATCCTTCTTTCAGTGTAGTGTGTGAAATAGCTAGTTCGCGTACGGCGTCATGGGAAGTGGGAACGTTAAAAAATCAATACCTGGGAAAAAAAGTGTCACTTCGCAAACTGTCATGAGTGTGCGAACATCATAATTTTTTGACAGTTGTAGAAAAAAGTATTTTAGATTAGACTGGGTTAAAAAAAAAATCCGCCTCCGGTGGGGTGCCTGCGGCAGGCGGCAGACAATCCCTAGCTGAGCCTCATCACCTGATGATGTCACGAGCCGCCACTGGTATTCAGTGTATGTACATAACAGCAACAAACTGAAATATCTTCTACTTATTGTGTAATAATAACTCAGTGTTCCAAGAAGTATCGTGAACAACGCATAAGCACTATTGCGTAAGACGA